GGTTACATTATACTCAACCTATAAACTTGTTCATGACAGCGAAATGAATGACAACTCCATTTCTAGATTCTGAGTACTGAAATCTTTCAGCAAAAGACATGACATTTCATCACAAGGTTCCCTAAACCCTCTCTATGTCAAGCTTAGAAGAGCTAAGAAATAAGCAGTAGCAGAATTGTAGAAGTGCTTTAAAAGTCAAACTACACAGACACACCACCTATATACTCCACCTCAGCTTTGCCCACAAGTCTGGTAATAAAAGAACCAGAAGGCAAATTAAGAAAACAACAGACAAGGAGAAAAACGTCTCTTTTTAATTTTTTTATAGTGACAACTTTGACTTGCCCATCAGATAAGAAGACACATTGAAAAGGGAAATTTAAAATTTTAACACACAAAAATACTGAAAGGATCACAGAAAAAGATGGGAGCACAGCTAAAGGTGCTGTGCTCAGGTCAGGTGGCTGAAAGCACTTGTGGGACATTGGCAGGATTTTCAAAGTGCCTTTTACTTTTTTCATTCACAAATTTCACATACATCTTATTCCCAGCTTCTCCTAAAAAATAAGAGGATCTGGCAATGCTGAGCCAGCAGTCTGGCAGCCAGCAACCGTCTGGAACCCATCAGTGGATGCCTCTTTAAACAAGGCCCTCTCTGCAGCCACCATTCCCACCAGTACCATTACTCCTATCTGCCTAACCCAAACTTCTAAGTTAGAGGAACAACTTAAGAGCAGTCTTAGAAAAATGGCAAGAAAGGGCCCATCTTCCTAACAGAAAGGAGACACATGAGAATAGATGAATGACACCTGTTCTACAGATTGGCCCAGAGGCACCCCAAAGGAGGAAGCTGTTAAGACAGCTTCGCCAGACCTCTTAAACATCAAGCTTCCTCTTTAGAGCAGCATGGCACATTTTAGGCAAGGAGAACAGCTTTGCCAGTCTCAAACAAACCTGACCTTCTTTCTGTAACAAAAATTAAGAAGAGCTGAAAGTTTTTAATACATTTTTACATTAACTTGTACTCCATGAAGAAAATGAGTACAAGTGAGCTACTTTGGAATATTCTAGAACAGTGACATTTTATGGTGGTCTACAGAATGACCTCATATAGTAACGAACTAATATTTATGCAAAAAATGAACTTCAATCCATTCCTACCACCATATACAAAACTTAATAGAGCTAAACATTAAACCTAAAACTGTAAAACTTCTAGAAGAAAATAAGAGAAAAATCTTTGTAATGTTGAGTTAGGCAAAGATTTCTTAGAAATATCAACAGTGGTGTGTCCATAAAAGACTGGGAGAAAATGTTTGCAAATCATAGATCTGATAAAGAATTCTCAGAATTCAACAAGAAAAACTGACTAAAAGTAAAAGATGTACACAAACACTTAACCAAAGACATACAAATGGCAAATAAGCATTATTAGTCATTAGACAGGCTCAAATTAAAACTATGAGATATTACCATAAACCCACAAGGATGGCTCAAATTAAAGGAATGATTGTATCAAGTGTTAACAGGGACATAAAGGAACTGGAACTGAGGAAGGACATGTAGCCTAGGACACTGACAACCCTTTCTAAGGTACAATGTGAAGTGCCTCACTGGTTACACCAGTAACAAACAGACTGTATCCAGTACCTGCAGCTGGAGAAAAACAAGAACCAGTTTCTTCCAGCTAGGCTGATCCCTAAGACCATGACCTGACCTTTAGCTAATTATAATCTCATTTGCATTGCAGTTACAATACAATGGGGCATTGCCAAAGCCTGCCCCCAGGAAGTATAAATGCCTCAGGACTTCCTAGGGAGCAACTCTTCTCTGAGTTCCCCAGCAATTTCCTCACAAGTGTGTACTTTCATTTTCAATAAATCACATTAGCTTTCCTGCATCTGTCTCCCTCTTGAATTCTTTCTTGTGAGCAGATGAGAACCCTGTTACCGCTGCTCTGCGTTGGTCCTTTCTTGGACTTCCCCGTGAGCCTCCTATGACACAACTCACACACTAATGGTGGGAACATAAAAACTTTGGAAGACAGTCTGGCCCTTTCTTAGACAGTTAAACACACAGCTACCTTCAGAAGCAGCCACTCCACTCCTTGGTATTTACTCAAGAAAGTGAAAGCATATGTCCACACAAAGACTTGTATATAAATATTCATAGTAGTTTCAGCCAAAAGCTGCACACAATTCAAATGTTCATCAATTAGTAAATGATAAGCAAACTGGTACTTCCATACAAGGACCACCATCCAACAATAAAAAGGAATAATATACTGACACACGCTACAACATAGATGTCAAACTAATTATGTTGAAAGAAAGAGGCTATCCCACACCAAAAGTGCATTCCATATGCTTCAAAGCCAGACCCCTCCAAAAAAAGTACATTCCTTATGATTCATTAATATAAAATTTTAGAAAATGCAAATGATCTATAATGAGAGAAAACAGATCAGTGATTTCCTGAAGCCTGGGTGGGATTACAAAGGGGCAGCAAAAACTTCTGTATGTGAGGGATATGTTCACTCTCAACTGTGAAGGTGGTATACATTACATCAAAAGTTATAAAACTGTGCATTTTAAATATGTGCAGTTTACTGTGTGTCATTTATACCTCAATAGAGCTGTTTTTAAAAAGTTAAACAAGGTGAGATGGTTTACAAAAGAAGATGGGTGCTGCTGTTTAGCCATTAAAAAAATCCGGTGAGTAGTAACATAATACTGTTGATCCCAGGGAAGAGATGTTCCATAAGAGACCCCAAAAGACAGATGCAAAGTAGCAGGTACTCTAGTCCAGATAAGAGAGAAGGAATGTGAATAAAAGTTAGGCAAAAACAAAACACAAAAACTGCTTGGGAAAGAAGAAGCCGTCCCTGGGTATGAGGTATAGACTGAACAAAGATGGTTGGAGTGGGAATGGAAAGGGAGAGATGGATAGAAGAATTTCATGGTTAAGAAGAAACGCTCAGGAAAAGGACACGATTGCTGTCTTCTCCTCTGTCAAAGTTAACTGTGAAACTAGGGGTTCCGAAGGACAAAGAAACACCCCACAGACCACTGAGGCCGAGCCTGAGGTCAGAGTGTGGGCCCCATTGCTGCAACAGTTTCAAAGTCCAGTCTAGGTGAAAAAAGCCTGAAATGAGCCAGCACCAGAGTGCAGGCTCATAGGAAAATCCCACTAACTATTTAAACTACTGTGTTGTCAGAAAAGTCATGACACATGTTTGCAACAGATGGCACTAGTTCATTTTTGGAAGTACTAGAGTCATTCGCATCTATGTTATTGCTATGTCATTTGACAGCTCACAGTGTAGCTTCATTCTGAAAAAAAATTGAGCGATTTGGTTGAGTTTTGGAGATTTTACAAGTTGAAGATGGAAGACCAAAGTGTGCATTTTCACCATATTTTACTGTTTTACTTCCATAAAGGGAAGAACACGTGTCAAGCTTGTGAAAAGTTGCATAAAGTTTATGGTAACAATGCTCTACAAGAACGTCAGTGCCAACAATGGTTCCCAAAATTCTGTGCTGGTGATTTTGATCTCAAGGATGCTCCTCGGTCAAGGAGGCCCACCGAGGTTGATGACAACAAAATAAAGGTATTGATCAAGTCACACCCACGTTACACGACACGAGACACTGCAGAAATATTGAACATCCATCATTCAAGCTTTCAGGACCACCTGAGTAAGCTGGGATACCATAAGCAAGCTCGATATTTGGGTTCCGCATGAACTCAAAGAAGTTCATTTGACGGCACGTATAAACGTCTGCAATGTGCTCATTAAATGTGAGGGAAACAATCCTTTTTTGAAACAACTGATAACTGGTGATGAGAAGTGGATTGTTTACAACAATGTGATGCACAAACAGTCTTGGTCCCGACGTGATGATTCGCCTCAAATGACATCAAAAGCGGAAGCATTCATCAGAGGAAGGTTATGCTCTCAGTGTGGTGGGATTTTAAAGGTTGTCAGGTTTTTCAAGCTCCTACCAAGGAACCAAACAATCAGTTCGAATGTGTACTGTCAGCAATTGGACAGTTTGAACGAATCCATCAACCAGGAACGTCCAGAGCTTGTTAATTGTAAAGGAGTTGTGTTCCATTGCAACAACATGAGACCACACACAAGTTTGATCACCCGTCAAAAATTATTGGAGCTTGGATGGGATGTGTTGCCACACGCACCATACTCTCCTGACCTTATGCCATCAGGCTTCCACTTGTTTCGCTCTCTTCAAAACTCCTTGCGTATAACATTCAATTCAGATGAGGCTGTAAATCAGCACCTTGTTCAGTTTTTCGCAAATAAAGACAGGTCCTTCTATGAACGCGGAATTAAGAAGCTCACTGAAAGATGGCAAAAGGTTATTGAACAAAACGGGCAATATATCATTGATTGATCTTTGTTCTTTATATAAATAAATAACCTTTGAAAAACATAGACAAAAAATACGTCATGACTTCTCCGACGACAAAATATTTTACAAGGTTCAGAGCCAAACCAATTCCACTTTCAATTGTTTCACTAATTTCTAAAATCTGAAAATATTCTCATGCACCTTACATAGAAAATAAACTTTCCTTAAAAACTACAATCAAAGTGCTAAAGTAATCTTAAAAGAAAATTTTAAAATGTTAGCAACATGGAAATTCCACCTATTAACATGGCAAGATGATCTTTAGTTTTTAATCATCAATGCTATTTCATAAATACATGCTCTGGCACAACTATTTATTAACAAGCTATGATCAGAATGAAGATCAGTGTTACGGAAGGACATCAAAAATGCAGTATCTAAAGCTTTACGAGCAGTTAAGAAGTAAGCTTTTATTGCCTTTATCAACAAAGTTAATCTTATGAACCAAGAAATCAATTCAACCTCAAATCCTAATTCTACATCCACTGTTCTCAAAATCCACCCACCTTACTCTCCCAGCTGCATGGACAAAGCTCCTTTGCCACCCAGCACATTCGGCCTGCATACCTGTTTGGAAGGTAGGATTCGCTCCAGGGTACATGTTGGGGGAATAGGCAGGAGCCGCTGTTGTGTAGCCCATGGGGAAACCAGCTGGAGAAAAACACACAGAACAATCTGATGTCATCACCTGAAGGAATAACATGATTTTACAATCAGGGCTCCCAAAGACCCAGTCGTTCTTACCTTCTTCATCAGAACTCCATATTGTCTTAAGGAGCCCAACAGCACTATGTTGGCTGAGCAGTTTCTGCTAGTTGTCTCCTTTCCTCAGAATTGTGATGGGTCACAATCATAATCATGTCTTTTAAACCTGTGAGTAAATGCTTACAACTTTCTACAACTGAAAAAATTCGGCAGAAACTGAGTTACAATGCCAAAAAACAAACAAAAAAACAAATAAAAAACAGACCCAAGCTCAAGTCAGGAAACTCCCAATACTTCTATACTTCCGGCAGTTTTATTCTAGATTCTAATCCCATAATTTATTACTTAGCAATAGTAACAAGAGTGCTGAGAGCATCATGTGCTAAAGGGGTTCTAACTGGGACCAAAAACACCCAGAACTGGGAAAAAGCCAATCTCACAACCCACTTCCAAGCAACTTCATCTTTATTAATACAAATGAGGAATTCTTCATAAAACTAAACCACAACCACTAATAATTCATGCGAACACAAAAGAAACATCAAATAAAACGTGTTACAAATAAAATAAAAAGCGTTATAGTCAAAATTCTGGTTGCCAGCAGATGGAGAATTATGCAGCAGCATTAAGTTAAATATAAAAAAGAACAAGGCCAACCTCTGTGAGCTGGTATGGGATGCTTCCTAGAATACTTAAATTGGCAAAGCAAGGTGAACACCACCTGCATCTCTATTCCAGAAAAGAACATGGTTCAGCTATGAGGAGTGTGTGAGCTCACAGCCTCCAGGAGCAGCACCTTCCCAGGCCACTTCTGCCTGAGGGCCTTCCTGTCACTCCCAGTCCTTGCCTCACACAGCTCCCCACTGAGCTAGCTGAGGCTTCAGCAAACATGTATCATAGTACCCAGGCTCTCCTTACCCATTTCTGCTTCCTCCCCACTAGACCTTTCACAAGCATTATCCTCCCCCAAATGTCTGCATTCCTAATTCCATCTCAGTGTCCACCCCCTTTTGTGTTACAAAGAAGAAATTAGAATGTATGGATACAGCTGGCCTGGAGGCATGATATGGACTAAATGTTTATGTCCCGTTCAATATTATATATTAAAACTGTAACTCCCAACGTGATGGTATTTAAAGATACTCAACTGTACTCATTTCACAACATATACATATATTAAATCATCATACACTTTTAAAAAAACATGTTGTACAACCTAAATATATACAATTTTTATCAATCATTCCCTAACAAAGCTAGGGGGGAAAAAAATCAATCAACATGCTGTCTGCCTAGCAAAAGAAGACACCGACTGGACCACATAAGGTTTTTTGTTTTGTTTTTTTTTTTTAATTGGGGAATTGGGCTAGGGGAACAGCACTGGGGAACTAGGGAGGGGGACTAGCCAAGTCACTGTTCTTCAATCTTGGTCGAGGAGGGTGTCAGTCGCCATCTGGCTCCCTCCCGGTCGGCAGCTCGTAGCCTCTAAGCTCAAAGTGCTGTTTTACAATCTTAGTTGCGGGTGGGCGTAGCCACCATCCCATGCAGGAGTCGAGCCAGCAGCCTTGTTGTTAAGAGCGCATGCTGTATCCACTGAGCCATCCGGGCGGCAGCTCAGATCAAGGTGCTGACTTCAGACTTAGTTGCAGGCGGGCATATCCCACCATCCAACAGGCAGTCTTGTTGTTAAGAGCACGTGCTCTCACCAGCTGAGCCACCCTGACACCTGTTGGCAGCTCAGGGGCAGCTCAGCTCGGGCGCAGCATCACCGGCCCATGTGGGAATCAAACTGGCGGCCCTGTTGCTCACAGCTAGCGCTCTTAAGCTAACTCTTAACCAACTGAGCCACTTGACCGGCCCCCCCCACCTATGATTTTTAATACGCTGCATTACATTCAATGTAAAAACAGTAGGCATCCCAAATAACAGGAGCATATGGCTGAAAAACATAAGAAAACGACAAACTGACACTAGGAACACACCCACAAGTGATCCAGAGACTATAGTCAGCCAACAAGGTCTTTAAAATAACTGTGAGTAGTATGTTGGAGAAAACAGAAGATGGAGTAGATGAAAAGGCTCAATTCAACACATGGGTTTTACAGCAAACTAGAGCAGAATTAGTAAAATGGAAGCAGTTAAGTATAAAATATCTACGTTAAAGCTCAGAGAAATGGAAATACAAAAAAGGGTGAAAGAGACTTGAGACAGCGTGATCTAACATACGAGGCCTGACAATTAAGTTCGCGAACTCATCCTAGAAAAAGTGCTACATACCTCACTGCTGAATATCACTATGGTCACCTTCAAAGTACTCCCCTTGGGAAGCTATGCACCAATGCCAGCACCTAATGCATCCTTCAAAGCAATTTTGGAACTCTTTTTGTGGAATGGCCATCAGAGCTGTCATCGTATTACTCTTGATGTCCTGAATGTCATCAAAATGTATTCCTTTCAATATTTCCTTTATCTTCGGGTAAAGAAAGAAGTCATTGGGGTCCAGATCAGGTGAGTAGGAAGGGTGTTCCAATACAGTTATTTGTTGACTGGCTAAAAACAGACAGTGCCGTGTGAGCTGGTGCATTGTTGTGATGCAAGTGCCATGAATTGGCGAAAAAGTTCAGGTTGTTTTCGTCTAATTATTTCACAAAGCCTTTCAACACTTACAAATAATAAACTGTCCAATTGGTACAAATTCATAATAAATAATCCCTGATATCAAAAAAGGTTAGCAACATCGTTTTGACTCTTGATTTGGACTGATGGAACATTTCTGGTTGTGGATAATTGACTGACTTCCATTGTGCACTTTGACGCTTTGTTTCAGGGTCATACTGGTACACCTATGTTTCATCACCAGTGATTACTTGACCCAAAACATCGTCTTGCCTCTCCAAAAGGTGTTGGCAAACTTTGACTCTCCTTTGCTTTTGTTCATCAGTGAGCTTGACCATTTTTGTACACACCTTTTTCATTCCAAGATTTTCAGTTAAGATTTTCCTGTTTCCCTATCGATATTTACTTGGTCTGCTATGCTTCTCACAGTCAGCCGACAATTTTGACGCACAATTCGACAAATTTTTGCAATGCATTTGTCAGTGCTGCACGTTACTGGTGACACTGACTTCTTTTCACCAGTGATGCATTCTCTCCCCTCAGAAAAACATTTAATCCGTTTGTACACTGCACTTTTCTTCATGGCATTATCCCCATAAACTTGGACTAACATGTCCCTGACTTTTACTTCCACTCTTGCCAACTTTAACAAGAGATTTAATGTTTGTTCGTTGCTCTAATTCAAGCTCGGACATTCTCGCAACGGCACACAAAAACACACAACAGTAATGCACGCTACTCAGCAAGACACCACCACACATCGACATAAACACAGCTGGGAGACACTGATATACCAAGGTTATGAAACCTTACCGAGCTGTTTGTACAGTGCTGCAATGTAAGCGCACGGTGTCAAATTCGCAAACTTAATTGTCACGCCTCATAAATGGAGTTCCAGGAAAGACAGAAAGGGGCAGAAAAAGTATTTGAAGTGCTATTGCTACTGCTGGAAAAAATTAACCCCCAAGAGTCAAGAAGCTCTGTGAGCACTAAGCAAGAGAAATACAAAAAAACAAATCACATCTAGTCACATCTAGTCAGTAAAAACAAAAAAAGGTATTTTAAAAGCAGTGGGGAAATAGGGGTAGGGGGCTAGAGGAGAGACATATTAACTTCAAAGAAACAAAAATAATTTTGACAGAAACCAGAGGACAATACGATTATATATTTAAAATGCTGAGAGCAAGTAACTGCAAACCTAAAATTGTACAGTAGGTCAAAAAAAAAAAAAAACCACCAAAAAGCCTCCCCTCCTCCCACAAATGTTGCCACACATCAAATCCCTGGAACCTGTAAATATTACCTTATTTGGAAAAAGCGTCTTCATAAATACATGTTAAGGACCTTAACATCATCCTGGATTACCCAGGGGGCCCTAAAGCCAATGACAAGTGTCCTTACAAGAAACACACCAAGGAGATGTGACCACAGAAGCAGAAATTGGACAGATATGGCCACAAGGCCACATGTCTATGAATGCTGAAAGCCATCAGAAACTACAGGAAACAAGAAAGACTTCTCCCCTCAAGCCTCCAGAGGGAGTGGTACCCTGCTGACACCTTCATTTTGCCCTTCTGACCTCCACAACTGTGAGAGAATAAATGTCTGTGGTTTTCAAGCCACCAACTCTGTGGTAATTTGTTATAGCAGCCACAGGAAACTAATACAATCAGCAAAAATATGCTACGAAAATAAAGCAAAATAAAGGCACCTTCACAAACAAAAACAAAATTCAATGCTAGCAGACCTGCAACCATAAACAAAACCAAAAATGTACAAATAAACAAAAATCTATAGGAAGCGGTCCCAGTTAAAGGAAAATGATCCAGACAGAAACATGTATATACAGAAAGCAAGGAAGAGCACTGCAAATAATAAATGTGGGAGTTAATATAAATGTTGACTGCACAAAGTGAAAACAGTGATGTCTTAAGGCATGGCAACAATAAACAAAAGGAGGAAGGGGGTAAAAATGTTGTAATCTTTAGAGTCATCACTAGAATAGTAAAAGGATTTTTTTAAGTTAACAAGGAAAAATTGCATAAAAAAAATATTTGATTAATCCAAAAGAAAAAGAAACTGAACAAAAAAAGGGTGCTATCAATTAGAAAATAGTACATGTAAACCAATTATATCAGTAATTATATTACTACAATTAAAAGATGAAGAAGCTGGGAAGTGTACCTTCTTTTCCATTAAATATACATTTTTAAAAGTTATAGACCAGCCTCTCCATGTGCTGGTGAGGATATAAAATGGTATGAAAGCATTTTCCCGTAATGTCTTATCAGTTTTTAGTAATGAAGTTATGCTGGCTTCAAAATTCTGTAGGTACATTAATTCCTTATATTGACACCACCTACCCTATCCCTGAATAAAATACCCAGAATGGTTACTAGTTTCTGCATTGAATCCTTGTTGATACAGACTTTTATGAAAGTCAAGGAGACTAAAAATACCAAAACCAAAAAAAACAGCAAGACAGGTGTAAAGAAATAAAGAGATACTATACAAAATTAAAACTGCTTTAACTCTACAGAAATTTTCTTTTAAATGCAATTTCAAGGCAAAAAAAACCAAAACACAAAAAACAAAGAACAAAAACCTTAAAAAATCTTTTACTCCAATGCTCTTGCTCCTGACCAGAGGTCAGCAAATACAGGCCACAGGACAAATGTAGCCCACCATTTCCTTTCAGTTGCACTGAAACAGACACACTAATTATTGTCAACTACTGCTTTTGTGCTGGAAAAACAGAGCTGAGTAATTACCAGAGATAGTGTGACCCACAGAGCCTAAAGTATCTACTACCTAGACCTTTACATAAAGTTTGACCAACCAAAGAGCAGGAACAAAGTTTATGTACATATCTCAGTATCCTCACAACCTTACCCAGATCATTTGCCCCCCTCAAAACCAGTGTATGACAGGCAATCAATGTTTTATTATAAGGACTATCAGGTAATCCCTATTTGTCTGGCTGTGGATCTACTCAGGATTTTGTTCAATAATTTATCTGTCTGCTTAAACTAGTGTTAATATTTTAAAGATAGGTTTTATCACTAAATTACCTTTTATCAATTATGGAAAACTCTGTCACTCCTTTTCTTGTAGTCTCTCTCCTCAATCCTTCTGGTGCTCTTAATTCTTCTCAAATCTTCTCATTCTAACATCTCTATTTCTTAACCAGTCTATTTCCCCCTTTCCTTATATTGGATTCGGATTCGCTCTTTAGTAATGTTTTACCTACAATGTAACCTGAATTTTGTTCAAATGCCTTTTTTTTTTTCATTTAAGTTCCAGTTGGTTCTTTCTGTTTACCCAGTGTCTTCGTTCCCCTCTCATGTTTTGATTCTTTCTTTTAAATCTTCAGTTATCTTAAACATGTTTTATGATGTAGTTTCTACTCGATGTTTTATTCCTGTACTCTGTCATGCCTGGTGACTCCTGATGAATAATGCTACACGATTGATTAATAAGTCCTGCACTGTTAAAAGCAGTTTGTGGGGCAACCCTCAGAACCTGGATTGAGAACACGTGCCCCACAGCAGTTCTGCACTTGCCCTGTCAGGTGCTCCAGGGAATTCTGCAAGCTGAAGGCTGTTTTCTGTTAAGTTTCTCAATATGGGCTCCCTGGGAAGTACAAATAATATAAAGCAGAGTCTCAAACATCCCTAAATGGTTACATATTCTTAGGAAAAATTTCCCCCCTTCCCAGAGCCCAAACAGAAACAAATTTCGTTCTGGGCCAGTAAATGGATTGTTTCCGTCTGCCTTTTCCCTGGGAGTACCACCATCTGGAGGAACCAGACTGATGAGGGGTTCCTACTTCAACTCCCAGTCTCACAAGTGCTTATGGCCTCACTTACTGTCCCCATGTGGGCTGTTTAAAGACAAACATTAAATGCCCCCAGGACAGGCACAGCATCAGCTCAATGACCAAATGTACTGGTTTTTACACCACTTTCATATTTAACTGCAGGTATTTCTTTCTTGTAAGCTCAGTTATATATTTTTTTAATGTCTTATTCAAATTTCCAGGGGTTTTTTATTTTTTAATCAACAGGATTTTATGGTTACCTATTTCACCATATTATCAAAACCCCAGATAAAACTTTAACATTATCAATTACTCCTTGTTCAAAGTCACCAATTAGAACAAGCATTTGCCATTTCTGACCAGCCAGCTCCTATTCCCCCACATTTTGCTTCACCCCATCCCTCATAGTCCCTGTTTGACTAGCTGACTCTGATAAGGGTAGGGAATGTTCTTGACCTACATTTATTAGTGGACTCACCTCCCTGGCCCAGGGATAAAAGCTGAGTCCAAATAGAACAAAGCACAGTACTGGTCTGAACAGAGAAAAAGAACGCTCATGGGGTTTTCCTGTAGAGCAGAGATAAAAGAAGGCTGGTAGCTGAGGGACTGACGGGGGCTGCTTAACATAGAAACCACAGGGGAGAAGTGTGACCTGTGACCAACGCTGAGCCAATACTGAGGAAGTAATGCTAAGTCCAGGAAGGACAGAAACTAGATCCTAGTCCCAAATCTTTGAAGCTGCCAGGGCCCTTGATTTTTCATTTCTATGAGCAACACATTTTCTTCCTTGTTTAAGCCACTTTGAGCTGGGTTTGTCAACTGAAGGCATTCTTAGTGACATGGAAATTTACCAAGTGTTCAAAGTTCAATAATGGAAACAAAATCGTACTTGCTTACCTGGATAACCAATTCCTTTGGCATTTGCATAGGGAACTCCAGAAGACCCAGGGCTATAAACAGGATTCATGATTTCAAGAACTAAAAAGGGGGGAAAAGGAGTGATTTAGTCAAACACCTTTGTTCTCAGGTTTCTCTCCAGCACCAGTCTCAAAAGAGCAGGTAGCAAGAGTTTTTCCTCTCCTTTACATAAACAAGGCATCTCATGCGGCTGCCAACCAACAGAGAACAGAAAAGCTACAGACCAGTCCTAACAGACACCAACCAAAACGCTGTAATCTTTCCTTTACTACTGCTTCAGTCCATCAGAAGCTAAGTGAAAAAAGTGTTCTCTATGTCCCTGCTTAAAACAGTGAAAAGAAATCTGTAAATAATCTGAATGTCCTTACAGAAAATAGTCAAGTACACCAGTCTATCCAGAACATGTAATATTGTGCGGTTGCTTCTTAAAGTTTTTATAAATATAAGATTGACACAATATTGAGTGAAAAAAAGAAGGGTATAATACTGCATTATGCAATACTGCATTATTCACTACCTGAATAACTGTCTAATTTTTTACACTTCTAAACCAAAAGCAGATGCCAGTGTGCAGTGACAGCTACAACTAGAGAGGAAAGAAAAGTCTAGGTCCATGTTGTACAACAGCACTTCCTGCAACCAGGCAGATGTTCTCTACCTGGGCCACTGAATGAGAAAACACAAGGTGCACTTTGGGAACACTGGGCAGGAGGGCTAGTCTGGAGCTTAGGCTACATGTAGGGAATTAGCAAAGATGATTATGGAGACATAGGTTAGGTTAGAACCATCATGTGGAAACCCTTAAATGTGGGGTTGAGCAGGAGATGTCACTTGGTAGGCAGTGAAGCTCATGAATAGCACAGCAGTTAGAAATAAGACTTAGCATCTGAGCTGGCAATTCCATTCCTAGGTGGAAGCTGCCCAAGAGAAGTGAAAATACACATCCACACATAAATTTGTACACTAACGTTTATAAAAGCATTATTCATAATGGCCAAAAATTGTAAACAGTCAAAGCACTGAACACCACAATGACCTGACTTACAGTCTAAAACAATAATAAAACTCTACTCTACATTTGCCACTAAAAAATGTATAGAATTGCATTTGAATTCTAAATACCATTAGTTCCAAACTACTCAAGAGGTTACCTTTCCTAAAAACACTTTTACTTCCCCAGAGACTAATAATAAATATTTCCTAAAGTGATTAAAAAAACTTAATGAATTAAAAATTATAAGAAAATATGATAAAGGATTGATGAAGGAAAATGCTGCAGTTCCCTCTCCAGTATTACTCCAACTTGCACAGGGTAATACGAAGACAAGGTCTGTGAACTAACATCAAACAGCTCCTTAAGTTACTTGCTCAAATGATGAGAAATTTCCCCAACACTTGTGCCTCAAGGGCAGGGAAAATACCTTATTCAGCCCTGTCTCCCTGTCTCTCACTCGTGCATGGCACAGAGGTGGCTCATAAATATCTTCTGAATGTTCTTAAATAAAAGAACTATCCAACAGAAAATATAGGACTTTTCAAATATGTGGAGACATTTATTTATAATCTAATTGAGAATTATTAAAATATATCTGTTTATTGGTTAGTGAATATGAAAGCTGAACCCACTGACCAATTTTAACATCACTAAGAATCAAACTACTTAACATTATCTGCATCCTCATGTGATGGAATTACTCTGCATTACCTAAGGTGTACTGCTACAAAAACACTAAAATCTGAATCTAATGGAGCCTATACATCTAACGTCTAGTTTACAGGAAAAGATAGGAGTTGGAGGAATATGCTGAACAATACCATGACACAATCATGAACCCAAAAGGTGGGGCTTTCTGGGACAAATAGCCCAGTTTCTTCGGTAAGTCAATGGTCTGCAAAAAGGTGGAGGGGTTGTGAGAAGGACAGTTCTAGAATAAAACAAATTTAGACAGAAAGACTATAGGTGGATTTTGTGTGGATCCTGGTTTACATTGAAAAAAACAGTAAAAGTATTTTAGAGATTTTTGGATAAACTGAGTATGGGGCAGGTATCAAATGGCATTAAACAACTGTTGTTAATTTTGTTAGGTGTGATAATAGTATTTTGGTTATGTAAAGATGTATCATTTTTTAGAAACACATATGAAAGCATATAAAGATAAAAATGACATGTCTATAATGTAAACTATTTCTACAAAAAAAGGGAAACTACAGCAAAATGCTAATCATTGTTACATCAAGATGTTGGGTACATGGCTGTACATTGTACTGTTAAAATTTTTTAATTTTCATAATGAAAAAGTAAGGGGGAAAACCACCATCACCTCTGTGCCTAGGAGTCTATAATAGTTCCACTAGCCATTCAGAAACTCCCAATTTCTCAGTCTGATCTGGTATGGACAATGGATCCTAATAAAAAGGCTGGATCTAGAGGATATCGCTTTTTTTTTTAAGTTTCCCATTTGGAATGACTCAACTGTCAGAATTCCTATGAGTAGCTTGACCTTGCATCAGAAACCTCAGATTTACCTTTAAAAAAGATGACAGCAAAAATTCTTCGATTTGAAAATCCAATAATAATCAGAGGGGAAGTATATTTAAGACCCATCACTATACTACTTTCTCTAGTTTCAAAACATGCCACGACCTAAATAAAGTTCCCACACAAAATAGTAATTATAAAATTTTAAAGGCCATATACATTAGCATTTCATATCAACAGAACTAATCTCAAGGGACTTAAAAAAATCTATCTCTGAGACACCAACATACAAGATACAATACCCTTGGGCCGGCCGAGAGGCACGATGGTTAAGAACTGGCTTGGGATGCCAGAGGGCCCCGGTTCGGATCCCACATATGAGGGCCAGTGACACTGCCCTCCACAGCTAAGATGCTGAACAACAGCTCAACCTGGAGCTGTGCTGCCCTGAGTCGCCGGCAGCGGTGTAGGCTGCAGCCCCTGTGGCAGTGGGTTGCCATAGGCTACCGTGTGTAGCCAGTTGCCAGCGTGAGCGGCCAGCAGCCGCAGTGAGCAGCCGTCCAGAAGCCGGCGACTGATGTGCCTCGCCTGGGAAGAGCGCAATGATGGTGCCAATGAAGCAACGTCTTCCACAACTAGACTGAAGAACAAAACGACAGCAACTTGTCTGTTCCCCTTCCCCCAACTCCCCAGCACTGTTCCCATCCCCCCAATTCCCCAATAAAAATCTTAAAAAAAAAAAGATACAATACCCTTTAGTACAATCAATATTGGCAATTCTCAGTAATGTCTGATATCATCAAGAAGAGTATATAATAGAAGAAAGTTCTCAACTCCTCCAAACTTTATCTTCACCACCAAGGTTTGCAATCTATTGGGAGAAACTCATGTATTTCTGTTCAGAACAACTGGAATGACTTCAAAGGTGTACAGTGAAACACAGACATGAGAAAAGTAACTATTACTCTATTATAAAAATGGGGAAGTTAAAATTTGGGTTGTCTGAAAAGTCATGACGTATTTTTTCTGTTTTTCACTGCAAAAATGCGTCATGACTTTTCCGAAAACCCAATAATATTTTTTAAATGCACTTAAGATTTTTTTCCCAATTCTAATCCTGTTTCTGTGGCATTACACTACTCATTGTCCCGATATTTGAAAATGCAGATAATTTTAGCTTTACAATCTAACCTTTAAAATGGAAATGAGCTGAAAGGCAGCTGTAGAGCAGAATAACTAAAAATCCTAACAAATAAACATAACAGTGCCTGATGTGAGGGCAGGAGCAACAGCAGCAGATGGTGCGTCCTCCTTGGTGCTTCCTCCCTTCCTCTTGGGTTGCAGGAGCTTGCCCAACACACAGCCCAATCCTCCCACTATTCCGAAAGGCAGGAGGCAGGAAAAGGGGGCGCTACCTGCTTGTCATGACTTTTCAGTCACCACTAACACCCACCAGAACGCCAGGAAGAGGCTGTGTCCAACTTTCTTAAAGCCTTCGGGGACCTCTACCAGATCTGAGTTTCAAAACACGACTAAACGTACGAGACACTAGCTGCAAGCCCGCTTAGCTTAAAGAGCAACACAAATCTCCAGGGAACAGCCTTCAATTGTTCAAGTCTTGGCTGTCACTGAAAAAGTACCCTACTACTTCTTTACTTACCTAAAACAAAAACTTTTAATCTAGCTTTTCATGTACTGTTTGGAAAAACAATTTCAAATTATACAAGGATGAGTTAAGAATTTAAGGAGTGGGAACTAAACAGACCTTTTCATTTAAAAAATTTTTTTGCATGCCAAAACACTCAAAAATATTTTATGTATGACTTTAATTAAACGTTAACTCGTACATTAAATGCACACTTATATCCACTATAACGAGAAATACCCAGTTTGTGGGCATGTTGTAAACGTGTACCTCTCTTTTACAAAGTTAACCCAGACAGCGTCCTTTTTGAAGAAAATATTAAAAGCCTTTCAAGTTGGAGGGCGAACACTAAGCTTCCGCCAGGGAAATAAAATAATTTTACTTCGTAGGTAGACAGTTTACACACTTGAATTAAAATCATCGGAACCTAAACCTAAGTTACAGAAACAAATCGTTGCTTCCCCATTTTTCATCCATTTTCCTGATCTAACCTAACTCAGACATTAAAAAGACCCAGAAAGCATTCTTGTTCACTTACTCTACCTGAGCAGCAGCCCCCGCCACCCACACCGCACCTGCCCGCGCCCACCTCCGCGTCCCAGTCTCCGCGTCCCAAGCCCTCCTTATCCGGCCCGGCCCTGCGGGATAAAGCGCAGGGGTTCCCTTCCGGGGTGCACAGCGACCCGAGCGGCGGGTTCCACCTTGGAGCCGCCCCAGGCCAGCCGCACAAAGCACCGCACTTCCGGCAGGGCAGTCGGGCGAGCCTCTGCCCAGGCCCACTGTCCGCTCCGCCTGGGGTCTCCCGTCCGCACTCACCGCGCAGCTGCGACGACGGCGGCCTGAGCCACGGGGACCAACGCACGCCGGCCCGAGGCGGGCTTGGCGTTGGGTCTCTGCGAAGGTAGAGCGCCGCGGAGGCCTGCTCTGATGCGAGGACTGAGCCGCGATGTACCGGTCTCTGCCGAAGCCTCGGCCTGGCCCGACTATCCGCAACCAGCGCTCCCTGCCGAAGCTGCGCAGCCACCGGCCGCCGACCTCACTTCCGCCTGGAGCGCGCCGCAGCGGGAGCGCACCAACACGTGACTCAACTGCACCTTCCGGGCTCGGAAGGAGACGTGCGCGCTCCCGTCGGCGTCTAAGAGCCTCTGGGATGTAGAGACAGCGATGATCCACGTGACTTGAGGAGCTTGGAGAGCGCAGTCAGAGGCCTATTGCACTGGTGCGGGTAGTTGTCTCTCGGCCCTTCCGAATAAACGCTCGTATAAAATGTTTTTCTTCAAGCTATTTTTGAGCACCTAATGATGCAATATGGAAGGAAGAACATATTAGAACATAATTATAGCGTTATATTAACGTCTTATGAGAAAAGTGTATTTGATTTCGTATTTTTAAAACAGCTGCTGCCCTGCAGGAACCTTCCTTTAAACGCAGATGTAAGGTCGTGATGCTGGCGGGTGACCCACTCCTGGCTGTGATGCTCAATGATGACAGCAGAGCACCAAGCTCAACCCCTGCAGCTAGGGCTGATCTGGTCCGGGTGGGGGTAAATGCTACCCCACCAAGTGCACGGTTCACCGACAAATGCACAAGTACCACACAGTGGCCACCAGCGTGGGCACAGCGCTCACTCTGCTAGTCACTGTTTTCAATGTTCTGCGTTAAGTCATTTAATACTCATAATAAATCATTTTAGAAATGAAGAAATTAAGGCACGAAGAGATTGACAAACTTCTTCAAAAACACACACTAACTACTAGGAAGCCAACCCAGAATTCAAACTCCAGCTTCTGGCTTCAGAGCGCTTGTTCTTATAGAAGGATTTCTGGCTTTTAGCTTTCCTATGTTGACCCCAAAAAGGACTCCTTGTGGTTAACTGGGCACAAATTCATAATCAGAGTCTAGCAGCCATTTTTTACAGAGGCCTCTCACGCCTGCCTGCTGCATATAAGGGAAAAGCCACAGGCTGAGCTGCCAAGCCTCCTGCATTGAGTTCCTGCCTTCTGAGCCCCATCTTATAAATGAGTTCCTGGAGCCATATTTTGACCAATGGGCTGAGACCTCTGTGTGATCAGAGGTGTGCAGTTATATCCTCATTTGCATCTTTACCAACCAATCAGAGGAGCTCCATAGGAAACAATCAGGACTAGCTATTTTGATCAGTCAGGACAATGCAATTAGGACCAATCAAACAAACTGTGCAAATTTGGATTCCTCATTTGTATAAAAATTGACCAATCAGGGGAAAGGGCAGACACTTTCTCTATGTTAGTGAGCTTTCTCTTTGGAAGAGGTGGGAGAAGCGGGCTTTCAGTTTCCCCTGGAGGCTGCATTTCTCCATTCATCTAAATGAAATCTCTCCGTTCATTGTATCCCAGGTTGGGGACTCCTGTTGGCATTAGGTTGGTGGCAGTGACCTTTTGTTGACACTCAGAACTCCTCATGCTGTCTCGGTATCATTAATAGGACCCACAAGTTCCCTGCCAGAACTCAGTCTGCCTTGGAGGGAGGTGGAGGAGTTCTGTGGTACAGGCTGTAGTGGGTCATCTGGCTAGGGCCCAGAAAGAGCAGGACAGTCCTGTGGGTCTGTACTCAACAGAAAGAATCCAGGCAGTCTTTTGTACCTTGCCCTGACCAAGCAGAGAACAACCTGATCTCAAGAACACCCCTTCCCGTTTTAAAGACTCTTTACTTCGCATCTATAAGATTTCATTGCAAGTTAAAATAGTTGCAAAGGACGTGAGTTCTGGCACACTGTAAATGTTGACAGTTTTAAATAAAACTGTATGTCACTCTTTAAAGCATCTCTATTAGAATATAGAAAGCATGGTGATTTGATTCCAATATTTTCCATTCTAAAAATATGTAAGTTCTATAACAGTATGAAATTTCATTGTTCCTTTTTATCCTTGAACTCCTGCTTCCATTCCACTTGCCCATACAGAATTTTCCCTAATATATTTGTGTATCAAGCTCTTTTTTTAAAAAAAATCACTTGTATCTGTCAGGATAGCTAGGAAATGCTGCAGTAACAAGCCCAAAATCTCAGTATCTTCACACAACAGAAGTTTATTTCTCACTTAAGCATCAGGCCCAAAGCAGGCGGAATCATCTAAATAAGTACACACCAAAAATAAATAAATAAGAGAATTCAGCAACAAGCAGTAATCAAATTAAAAAAATAGCTGTCGTGTATTTGAATAACAACTAGTTAGAACAGGGGTCGGCAAACTGCAGCTCACGAGCCACATGTGGCTCTTGCGGGGTACGTTCCGTCTCAAAAGTTTGCCAACCCCTGGAAGAGCCAATCCTGTCACTCACAACAATTTAAAAATTATTCGAGAGCCATAATATATTTTACATAATCACCATTATGTGAATAATATCCTTTAAAATTTTTATCAATGAAACTATGATAGTTTTATTTTCATTTTCAATTTTACTTCAGAGCCTGAGGTTCACAAGCTACAGTTTGCTGACCCTTGGTGGCTTTTCCATTTCAAAAATTTGCCGACCCCTGAGTTAGAAGATGTAGCAGAAGAACATATCATTTTGTACAAGGTTACTTATAGGGAAAGTAAATATACAAATATATTTTAAAATATCAGTATAATACCTAGCAATAAAATTTTATAAGAATTGTGCAAGATCTATATGAATAAAAGTTTAAATAACTACCAAAGGGCACAAAAGTGTCATGTCCTGTGTGGCAAGGGCAAATGGGAAACGAGAGGGGCGACGCAGAGTGAATAAGTACAAGAGACAAAAGTAAGGTAAGAGTGAGACCAAGAGACCCAGCCTGGAAGACTGAGCCCCAAATCGGGTCGTCGCATGGCTTTTATTGAAAAAAAAATTGCAAGGAAGTGAAACTGTATTATTCAGATCTGTGAACGGCGTGCCTTAACGCTGTTTTCCATTAACCAGCTCCCATTGTACTCCAACATGTACTGTGCCTTCATACAGCCCGCACAGCCCCCAGGATGACATGTTCCTACTGTGTCCTTCCAAATAAGGGAGGTGACCGATATCATTCCACCGGGTCTCAGTCATACCATGACACTTTCTCAGGACCGTATAGGTCAGGGGTTAGTGCAGGAGGCAGCTGTAAGGCAACAAAAAGAACATGGAGAAAAACATCATATTGTAGCATAAGTAGATTTAACATCAGAATAATGTCAATGTTCCCTAAATTAATTTATGAATTTAATACAATTCCTATAAAACACCAATAATTATTTTTAACTAGATAAAGTGATTCTAATTTACACATAGGAAAAAATCAAGAAAAATCAAAAGCAAGAATATCTGCCAGGAAAACTTTGAAAATAAAGAGTAATAGGAAGGGACTCCTAGACCTCCCAGATAAGAAGACAGGCTTAACAGCCTCAATCAATAAAACAATGTGTCACTGATACATGAACAGACAGACCAGTGAAATTTGACCAAAAAATCTAGAAATACACCCAAATAGTTTTGGGAAGTTGGTATTTGATAAAGTAGCATCTCAAATCACTGGGGATAAAGATAGAATGTTTAATAAATGGTATTTGGACAAAAATATGGCCATATGAAAAAATATAAAATTAAATCTATACCTTACACTATACCAAAGTAAAATCCAAATAAAAAAAGATATAAACGTACAACAATGTAATTATAAAATTACAGGAAGTAAACATGTGAAAATTGCTTTTTAATTTTGGCATTAAGGCGGACTTTCTGACACCCTCTCAAAATCCAGAAGCCAAGACTATGAAAAACTTCACTTTGGCAAAATGCACCATGAGCACAGTCAAAAGACAAATTATCTAAAAAGAAGAAATAGTTATATTCCAGGAGTCAATGGAATAAAAAGTCCTACAACTCAACAGAAAAATGAAGAGTGTTCACAGAAAAGACAGTAAACAGCTCTTAATCATGTGGGGGGGAAGTCAACCTCACTCAAAAAGAAATGCAAGTTAAAATTTATTGAGATAGCATTTTTCACCTATTTGATTGGCAAGCATGAAAAAATTGACAGTACACTCTATTGGTAAGGCTATGGGGAAACAGGCACATTTTTCTGAATTGGAGAGGGAACCAGTTGATGTGTATCAAGACAATATACACAAAACTTTTGACCCAACAGTTCCACTTCTGGGAATTTGTCTACAGAGATTCTTGATGATATGTAAAATGAAACATATTCAAGTTTATTCATTGTATCATTGTTGACAGTAGCAAAATATGGGAAACAACCCTAGTGTGTATCATGAGGGGATTGACTGAACATACTCTGGTTCCTCCATACAGTGAATTACTCTGTAATTTAAAAGAGAAATGAGCAAATTTTCTATATACTGAAATGGAAATATCTTCAATGTAGACTGTTAAATGAACAAAGCAAAAGGTAGAACTGTTGTTATGAACTGAATTATGTTCTCCCACCCCCAAATTCATATGTTGAAGCCCTAACACCCAGTACCTCAGAATGTGACTGTATTTGCAGATAGGGCCTTTAAAAAGGGTGATTACAGTTAAAAGAGGGCAGTAGAGTGGGCCTTAATCCAATCTGACTGGTGTCTTTATAAAAAGAGATTAGTATACAGACAACACAGATTTATGAACAACCCTGTGAAGACACAGTTAGAAGATAACCATCTGCAAGCAGAGAGGCTTCAGGAGAAACCAAAACTGCTGGCACCTTGATCTTGGACTTTCAGACTGTGAGCAAGTAAACTTTATTGGTTAAGCTGTCTTGGTCTGTGGTATTAGTTATTGCAGCCATAGCCAACTAATACAATTGTTAAGGAACATTGTGTAAAAAGAGGGAAAAGAAAAAAACATATTTGTATTTACTCACATGCAAATACAGAAATAGTTTTAAAAATACTAGAAATAACAGCAGTGATTACCTGTGGTAAGGCTAGGTACAGAGTGGGCCCTGAGCAAATGACAGACAGGGGTGAGAGGATAATTTTCTTTTTTGTAAAGTTTTTAAAATTAAAAACAGTTTTTACAATTTAATTTTCAATTAAGGTTGACATGACATACAATATTATATTAGTTTCAAGTGTACAACATAGTGATTACACATTTATATAACTTACAAAATGACCACCCCAATAAGTCTAGTACCCATC